TCTGGCACTGATGATGTTACCTAGTCCTAGTTGCATGATGAAACCTCTGCAAGTAAACAATCAAGCTCAGAGAGCACAAAGGACCCCACAGTCCCCCTCCTCCTCCTCTCTGCAAACCCCCCTCCCTTCTAGCCCTGATGATATTACCTAGTTGGATCATGAAACGTCTGCAAGAAAACCACCAAACCCAGAGAGCACCAAAGACCCCACTGTTCAACCCTGAGCTAGAGAGATTCTCTGGGTTCAATGTGGATTGGATTGTAGCTTTAGTTTCTAGGCAGAGCTACATTAACTAAGCGTTGTCACCCTACTTCCACTTGAAATTTCAGAAACGGGGGGGGGGCAGGGTCTGTGGTTAGGGTTCTCTGGAAATGGCCAGGAAAGCTTAGGTGCTATGTGAGAAAGGATCAGCTCCTTACAAGGCTGGGCAAGGGAAAAGGTTGCAGGGTTCCTCCTCCGGGGTGGGCTTAGAGTTGACGTCGCAGTAGCTGTCAGCCACCTCCTCGTGAGTGTTTCTGTGCACGCAGCGGAAGATGGGATATTGTGCCCCTGAAAGGAAAAGACAGATAAAGCAAGAAGCTGTGAAAAATCCATTGAATGGAAGACATACAGGTAGCCTTGGATGGGATGAGTCAGTTTCTTCTCCTGCATTCAGTTGAACTCACCCTGAATTTCTATAGATATTCCAGATCAGAAACCATAAATAAGAAAGGAACAGAGAAAGCCCACTAAACATATGCCAAGTCAAACCAATGTCATCTCTCACTCTCTCCCTCCCTTTCTGTTTCTCCCTCTCTCTGTGTCTCTCTTTCTCTCTCTCACTCCCTTCTTCCCTCCCTCTCTGTTTCTTCCTCTCTCTCCGTCTCTCTTTCTCCCTCTCTCCCTCCCTCTCTGTTTCTCCCTCTCTGTCTGTCTCTCTCTTTCTCTCTCTCACTCCCTTCTTCCCTCCCTCTCTGTTTCTTCCTCTCTCTCCGTCTCTCTTTCTCCCTCTCTCCCTCCCTCTCTGTCTCTCTTTCTCTCTCCCTCCCTCTCCCCCTCCCTTTCTGTTTCTCCCTCTCTCTCTGTCTCTCTCTTTCTTTCATTCCCTTCTTCCCTCCCTCTCTTTTTCTCCCTCCCTCTCTCTCTTTCTCTTTCTCTCTCTCCCTCCCTCTCTGTTTCTCTCTGTCTGTCTGTCTGTCTGTCTGTCTGTCTGTCTGTCTGTCTGTCTGTCTGTCTGTCTGTCTCTCTCTCTCTCTCTCTCTCTCTCTCTCGTGTGCTTAATCCAACAAGCGACAAACACATCTCACTGAGTTTCGGCCAACAGCCATGAATTTAATTAAAAGAACAGCTTTTAGGTCATCGTAAATTTCTCTCTAAGAGGCTTTTTTTTTTTTTTTGCTTCTTTGCTGGTTTGGCTGCAAAGGGCTACAGGGCTCTTCCACTCTAGAGTGTGAACCTTTGCTTTAAAAGAAACAACCACCACAACAAAACCTCACACAGTTGGAACCAGTTTTAGTAAGACTGTGAGCAAACCCTGCGAATGCCGTGGGGGCTTTAGTGACCAGCCTATCACATCAGTTTCTGCAGATCTCCCCTAAGTGGGACTAAACGTTACTTCCAAACCATCTACTTGATGCTCAGTTTAAACAACCTTGACTGTTGTTGTGATGCTTCTCTGATAAAGCTATGATTGTTTGCCCTTCTGTTATGGTCGATGGCAAAAGCAAATACATTTGAATTCCTCAGCAATGGAAACCTTTCCCAATCTTTGAAGTAGGATATCGTATATATTTTGTCAAAAAATTGATTTTCCCTTCACAAGGGATAGAGGGAGAAAGGTTTTTTGTTTTTTTTTAAATTTCTCACAGCAGTCCTTGGAACAGATCCCTCTTCCTGAATTTAAACCAGAGAAGGTTCTTTCCATTGCCAATTTCTCCAGGGCAGGAATCTGGACCAAGTTGGATTATCTTCCCAGTCAAAATATGACATGCTCTTGAACCCAGGCCAACTGCAAAGTAGATTTTGACAAAGAGGTTGCAGTTCTCACAAGACAAGGAGGAACCTTGAAGGCTGCAGAACACTTCATTGTACAAGGTGCTCAGTAAAGAGCTGAACTGCAACAACTTGTGGGATGAGTATCACTTCAGAACAGTTGCAGGGCCTACTTAATTAGGTTCAGATTTGACCAGGTTCATATTATCCTACTTTGGACATATGATATGAAGACCCAGCTCTCTGGAGAAGACCCTGATGGTGAGAACAGTAGAAGGAAACAGAAGAAGAGGAGGACCACCAGCAGCAAAGAGGAGAGACTCGGTGGAAGTCGCTTGGAAGTTCTGAAGAACAAGATTGGGGACAGATGGTCAGGGAGAAGTTCTAACTAGGATTAGAGAACAACTCGATAGCAGGCAACCAAGAAATCAATCAAAACTGCCGCATATTATATTAAGAGATGTTGTGGCCCTCCATAGGTTGCAGAACCCACAACTCTCAGAATCTCTCCACATGGGCCACGAAGGCTATGGCTCTTGGAGGTTGTATCTTGGCCACTGATGATCAGCTACAGATTCATGCGTCAGACCCTTGGCATCAGAGAACGAGTGAAGCCAAGCTGTCTATTCAGTGTGTGTTTTATTTTCAATCATCTTGAACTCTCACGAGGTATTTCCCGTGGTTCTTCCATTCACGTTGAGGGTGGGTGGAGTGGGGAGAAAAACTGGCTTTCCTGCTTAGTCCTGAGGGCTGCTTGACACGCCGTGAAAAAAACAGTCCCGATTTACTCACAAAGGAAATGAAAAAGGAAGTTTCTGCCAAAGTCAAATGTAATATATTCAGTGGTGTATTCAACCAGGAAAGCTCTCAGCCTCCTAAAAGCTAACAGGGCTATTCTTCTTCTCCAGAGTGAGTTTACAGAAAATCCGGAAGTTTTTGGCCAGCCTCCACCATTCCTCTTTTGCTACAGTTTCCTCTCTCAGTATGCTGCTTCTATCAGGGCAGTAAATATCCCAGTGGCTAGCAAATCTTGTTTTCACAACCACCAACGTTCCCAGGAATGGTCAGCTGAGGAACTCCAGAAATGGGGCATGATTGGAGAGAGGAAAACCTGCCCAAAGTGTCTTGGGAAGAGGCAGTTAGATCCTCAGCTAAGAAAAATGGAGGAGGACCCGGTCAACGTGAATGGCCTGGACTCAGGAGGGGGGGGGGCTCCTTCACCCCAGGTCTGAAAAAGAAAAATGTTTCTAGGAAGCCCTAAACTTCAGATGGAGTTACACCACTGGGAAACTTTTCCAGCAGAGAATTTCTTGAATTTTTTCCTCCTGAAGTCAACCTTCAGTAACTGAGATGATCTGGAAGGGGAAATGACAGCTGGCACTGGGAGGCCCTGAAGGTGTCCCAAATACTACGAGAGGGAGAACTGCACTATTTTGCTGCCCCAGTCTGGTTGGTCTTCCGTAAGGCTTTAAAAACCTGGCTACATACCCAGGCCTGGGGACCAGAACCTGCTAAGGGTTCTGTTTCTTCACCCTACTGTTAGTTGTTTCACTATCTTGGCTGCTGTTTTGTGTTTCTTTTCTAGCTGTTTTCATTGTTTTAACTATTTTAGAATTCTAGACTTATAAGCCACCCAGAATCGCTTGGCAGAGACGGGGAGTTATAGAAATTGAAAAACAAACGATTCAATAGCTAAATTCTCCACCTCCTTCAAGCCCTCCCAGGGTCAGATCTGTGAGTCCGTCACTACAAACCTTTCCCACAGGTAGCGCTGCATTCAGTTGTTCCAGTTTGTTTCCAGTTATGTTCCCGGCTGCGTCTGGGAGGCTGACCAACTGGGACTTGGTTGTCTGGAACTTGGGAAGGAAATCTTCCAGGCTGACTCATCCCGGGTTGTCTCGGGTGACTGCCTGCCTCCTGATGCAGATCTTTGTCCTGGTAATTCACGGTCTCTGTCACCTCCAGTTGGCCATTGAACGGCTCCCCTAGGCACATGAGGTCAATCACATCACAAGAACAAACATGTATTTCTCAGCCATGAGCCAGTCAGAATACAAAGCCCCGCCCAAAAAAAAGCCTGGAGGACTTGGGGTGACTACATAAGTTCAGAGGTTTCTTGTAGCAGTGAACCCCAAAGCACCAGGATGGTTTGAAAGACGCAAAGGCCATGAACTGTTTAGAAAAAGATATCCTATTTGTCAACCAGGCTGAAATGTTGAACGTTTGTTCTTCGACCAATCTTGCAATAGCACAGAGCATTCAGTTAAAGCATCCTGGTGTGAATAAAACTGAAGCAACAATGGGAAACGGGCCAAGCTAAATAGCTGGAAATTAAGGGAAGAAAAATTGGTGTGAGGGGAAAAAAATGCATTCTTTATTCTCCCCAAAAATTTGGTGAAAAGGTATTTTATGAAAATACCCTGAGACTTTGGGTAGAATAAAAAAAAAAATAGGCTTTCCCCCTCATTCTATTCCCCCCCTTATTTTCCATGAATAAAATCTGTTTTATCTATAAAGATACCCTTCCTTTTGCATGTAGAGAACTGTGAAGAAATGTCCAGAAAGACCACATAATAACCTTTCAGAAGCATTTAATTCTCTAAAGGAGTGAAGGTGAAACAAACAAACAAATAATCTTTGAAAAGCTAAAGAAACCAAACCTGGTAATTTGAGCAGGTAGATGAGCCTCTCAAATAATCTTTTGATAAAGCTATCAAGTTTGGGGTACCCTAAAAGCAACGATGTGATATCTATGGAGATTCTCCGTCATCCAGGTCACAGTTGTCCCAAAGGGGCTTTTTCAAAAGGCAGCTGGACTTTCTTCGTTTTTCCTTGAAGACATTTCGCTTCTTGGATGAGGAGCGAAACGTCTTCAAGGAAAAAACAAAGTCCAGTTGCCTTTTGAAGTAGCCCCTTTGGGACAAATGTGATGCTTTGCTTTCAAAGATAGTTTTACTGGATGCATCAGAGAGAACCATTTCCTGCCATTGAAAGGATGGAAAAATGCCTTGTTTAAGAAGTCCCTGCCAATCAAGAGAAAGTCATCAGATTGGTTGAGGAAATCACCGCATTCTTACCTGGCCGTCTGTGAAGAGGCACCTGAGAACTGATGGTGTTGGGACCTGGAATAATGTACTCATAATGTATACCTGGATTGGGCTGTTGATGAATCATCTGTGGAAGGAAGAAGAACCTTTGAGTTCATTGAGTTGACTCTGATGTACAAACCCAGTTCACCCCACCAGCTGGACCAGATCAGGAAACCCACTCCACAGAAAGACTTAAACTACAGGTAAACCTTGTTTAGCAACCACAGTTGGGACTGGACACTTGGTTGTTAAGCAAAACGGTCATTCAATGTTCTTAGGGACATTAAGTCCATAAAAAGAAGTGGCTTTATTCATCTCCACATTTTTCTGTCCCCCCTCAAGTTCAGAAATGTTCAGCATGTAAGTTTAATAACTAAAATAAAATAAAAAAATAAATTTACCCATCAGAGACAAGGTTATAAATAAATAAACGTGCACACCTGCCGGCTCAGGTCTCTGACTTCCTTCTCAACCTATCCAGATGGAAAATTAACTTTAAAAACTATTTTATCCGGGAGTAAAAAACTTCTAATGGTTAAGGGTGGTTCCTCTGGTTCAATAAAGAAATGATATTATTATCTGAAATCTTTGGTTCTTACATAGACATCCAAGATTTCATTGGTTGGGCCCTCTGCTAAAAAGGATTCCCCGGCAGTACTTGAGATCTCGTTGGGCCGTTTATAGATGAATATCGTTCCTCCTCCCTCGTATCTCCCAGGTCGATCAATTGCCCAATTCCCGTTGATAATGGCACGTCCTGATCGACTCCGTAGTGCTGTAGGAAGAACCAGGTGAAAACAACGAAAGAAAGAAAAAGAAAGTAAAGTATTAAAGAAAGTAATAATGAACAGCCAGGTGGACAGTTACAGCGGTGAGGAGTGTCCCATTGGGAGACCTTGAAGCACAAATTAGTAGTAGATGGTCATGGAGAAAATCCCTCCCTGTGGTTGTGAGGATTCATATGTCATAATCATGAGCCACAATCTTTCAGGTAGAGTAGATGTTTGACCTTAGTAAGATTAACCGTTCAAGGATCTGCTTGTTGTCCTTAATATCTACTATCATCCCTTGTGAACTGTCCATGGTACTGACACTTTACCATTTCTACTGTTTTTAGCTTTGCCTTCTTCTGTTCCACAAGGCTAGATCCAATTATTTCTTGGATGGAGGGCACTTACAGGGAAAGGCAAATCTATTGAACTGATTTGCCCAGTATCTCAAATCTTTCTCTTTAAATACGTAGCTCCGCTTAACTTTGCACAACTCTACCTATTTCCCCAGGAAGCTTCTCATCATGATATGAGATTATGGATCTCAGCATGTATGCATTTCTTGATGGGTCATTGATAAAATTTCTCCATTTCAGCACAGGGATTTCAATGGTGCAGGGACAGCTACAGGTGGACCATGGATGATCCTTCCATCATTGTCGTAGCTGAACCGGGACTCAGATAAAAAAGAGAAAATAGAAGCACAACCATATTGGTACAACAGATACTATGCAAGGAAAATGTTTTGAGTCCGCTCAGTAAAACTATAAATATTTCTGCTTGCAGGTCTCAAAGGTTTTTCTCAATTAGTCTTTCTAAGGCCACATTCCTTTAAACTGAATCACTTCTTAGTGAAAGTTGAAATAAATCTTTGGGCATTTCTGGTGATAAACTGAATCTCTGGATGATAAAATCGTGAACTAAAACTCTCTTCTATATACCTCAGTCTCTGACATGGGGAAAACAGCATCTTTCATCTATAGGATAAACCCATAGCCATATTTCTTGTTTCTTCTAATTTTATGTTAGGAAAGGAGGAATAGCATATTTTCCAGGGCAGGGATTATTACCTGCAAATTGCCAGTTATGTTCAGTGCAGTGGCAAGCCTTTTAAATCGATACTAGATACATAGCGACATGTGTATGCATGCATATGCAGCCATAATTCAAAAATTAATAATGAAATTGTGCAGAGATGTTCTGTATCTGAAAGCCAGAACATAGGTCAACATCTGGTTGTGTAGTCTTCACAAATTAAGCTTGTCAACAGCAATCAGCAAATGGTTCTCTTCAAATATTTGGATCTGAAGTTCATTTGAGACAGACATAGGGGGAAAAGAGTGGGAAGAAATAAGGATTTCTCTGAACTTGTGTTGAATGGCATGAGAAGGTCTCCAGATTCCACCAGAAGTAAAACTATCTCTAGATACTTCTCACCTCCCTTCCTTAATTCTCCTTTTGAGATCTCCCTGCATCACTCAGCCCGCAACTTTCCCTTCGCTTGTTAGGCTTCCAAAATTCATTCCATTTGAATTACAAGTTGATGTTTCCCAGAAAAGCAGATCTTGAGGCATAAAGTAGCATGAACAAACTTGAATTGTGCAATCTTAGAATCGTGCAAGCGATGGTATTCCCCAAGAGTCTCTATGGAAACCAAAATTGGACTTTGTTAAAGTGGGGATGGAAAGATTATTGATGCCTTTGAACTTTGAACTTGGACCCCAGATTCCTGAAAATACCATGGACAGCCAAGGAAACCATCTCCCCACCTTTGCTCTGGCTCGGTTTTAAATCCTCTGAGCTGCACAGAAAAATGGGTGATGAGAATGAAATGTTCTGTAATTGATAGAATAATGACTGCCGGGGCACAGAAATCCTTTGTTGTCAATCACTCTCTCCCAGCACTGCATCACGGCCTTCCCACCCTTAGGCTAAAATATTCTTGCTTATTTGGGCAAATATATTTGTTTATCTATTTTTTTTTTAATCGAAAGCTTTCTTAAACTGCTGTTGTATTCCGCGTTGTTACCGATTGCTTTGTGTTGTGCATTCTTCGGGAATATGGAAAAATTTAACTCGGACTCAAATCGCAAACTCAAAACCAAGCCACGGTCTGAACGTGACCCCAACATTCTTCAACTTACGCACCCAGAGAGGGGGGTGCGCTTGCCCTTGAAACCGGCACTTTTCAGAATTTGGTGATTACACGAAAGAAATGCTTGCCATACAGAGACAAATAAGGTGTTGAAAGCTTGGTGAGGCGAGAGCAACAAACACCATAGAGGAGGGCTTTGTCCCTTAGCAGATTAAATTATCATCAGGTTCTTCCTTGTTGCTTAAACACTGGCTTTCCAGTGAGTGAATCAGCAGGACGTTTCTGAAAACCTACCCTTCACCACCCATTCTAGGAAAACCCGCCGATTTCTTGAGAAACGCAACGTCTGCATTGTTTGGAAATGGGCTTTTGAGAGAGAAAGACGTTTTTTAAAATTCCCTTTATGAATGGGAAGCTGCCGAGGCGGGAGGGGGAAATGATATTTGAACAGCATGAGAACTATTCAAGGGGCAGACCATTGTCTGTCTGGCACATTGAGTGGTAAAACTGCTAAACCCTGCAAAACGGAGAATTCCCATTTCACACTGTTCAAATTGAAACCCTCCATGAGTTTTTACGCTGGGGAGAAGGGGAAATGTTGAATAACGTATTCTCTTTTCCCTGTTACAGCAGTAACCATGCTGGGGAAAAGACGGGTTGAATTTTCAAACTGTAAGCCCGATTTGCAATGAGGGAGGAGACAGGCTGAATGCTTAGAATGTGGCAAACTCTCTTCCGAAGAGAGGTAGCCAATGAATTCAGCAAACTCCCAATAAAGCTTTCTGCAATATTGGTGTTAATAAATACTAGTAATCTTCAATTTATGGCCACAATGGGGATCAGAATTTCACATTGCTAAGCAGGGCGGTTATTAAGTGATTTTATTTTACGAAAGTTCATCCTTGTCCATTACCTTCAAAATGTTCTCTGGACCTTCATTTCCACCCAAAATATGCTTACTACATATTTGTTACACAAGAAGACAATAGTCTGAATCTGCTTTGGAAATCCCTGAAATATTTGTTGACTAAGCTTCATCCTTTCCTCTTCAAGGAACTCTTAGTCCTGTCCTGACAACATCTGATTTCTGAGCATCAGGAAAAGCAAGGAAAGGCACCCCGACATAAAAACAATGGAAGGGATAGAGGTGATCTTTTAAGGATGACTCCTAAGCAGACTGAGGCATATGGATTTCTGATTTGGTCACTTAATCCAAATAAATTCACAGGCTGCGCTGGGACCGAGGGACTTGGCTGATGCCTCTCCAACTCTGAAACATGTTCCGAGTTGGGTCTTAAAAATATTTGCAAAGAAAAATGTCTGTTTCACTGAATGAAATGCAGTCCATTTTTGGAACCTGGGAGTTTCTTCTGAGAGCTGCTTGAGAGGACCAGCACTAAAAAGGGATGGTCTACTTGGACAATCTACAACTGACTAGCCCGGGAAGAAACTGAATCTGGATGAGGTCATGACCAAAACTCAGGAATGAGGATGAGGAAAAACTAGGCGAGATGCATCTTATGGGAAACATGGTGGTGGCATTATTCAAGAAGAAGAAGGAAGACGAAGAGGAGGAGAGAACTTATTGAGCCAACATTGACACATCACTCTGTCTTAGGTCAACCCTAGCAACCTCCAAGGAATAGCAGGACATTTGGAGGTAGGGGAAGTTATCACTTGTATACCTTCTTCTCTCCAGGATCTACAGTTCCATGGTAGCTCCTATTCTGAGAACCACAATTCAACCCAGATGGAGGATACCAGACAGGGCAAACTGTCCCTGAACATCATTAAAGTTTCATTAAAGTTTCAGGTTGTCTACAAGGGATCATAAAAAAAAAAGCTAACTGAAAATGAGTCAGGACTCAAAAGCTGCATTTAGGTGAAGCCAAATGGTCAAATCCAATTAAATGTAGCTCTATTTTTAAACTGTAATCAAGCCGTTAAAAAAAGCTAACTTAATTGAAGTCTTTATCCGTAGGATGCAATATTACTTCTCCTGCAAGGTTTCTCTAAAGAAAAAAAAAGAAAAAAGTCCCTTGATCTCAAATCAGTCGCCTTGCCTCGTTACATAATTCAAGGGAAGAGCTTAAGAAATTCAAAAGAAGGATTAAAGTGTTTTTATTGAGAATGTAAAGAGTCACAGTAAGGTTGGACACAGTCAAAGTGGGATTTAGCATACAAATTAAGAGTTTAGTTGGCACATCCCTGATGCCCTCAGAAAGTTTTTTCTAACTGCTTCCCATATTTAGAGTTCCTTCAAAGTTTTGAGAGCTATAAAGTTTCTCCCATGTCATACATTTGGGCCACAAGCTGTTTTATTTCTCCATGGAACTCCACTGTCTCCAGATCTGTTATTTGGAGACTAATTTGAGTATAGTTTGCCATATTCCCAAGAGACTGGATTTAGTCCACTTATTATTCTCAGTAGAACCACAGCTTGGTGCCAGATCACAATGGCTTGAAATAGGTCTGCTGATCTTCAGACAGCCTCAAACAAATCAACCCAGAGATCTTACTCAAGACCCAAATTGTCCTACTTCAGAGACATTAAGTGAAGATAGAAAAGGCTGTAATACTAGGAAAGGTGAAGGAAAGAGAAGAAGAGGATGACCAATAGCCATATAGATGGACAGTAGCGATGGGTGGGACAATGTGTCCTGGAGAAAATCAGTTTATTAGGTTAAGAACTGACAATGACTCAATGGCACAAACCAATCAATCAATTATAGAACACATCTTGAGAACCAATGCAGACCCCACAGCAAAGTCACTAATGTATCCCCTTCCTCCTCTAAGTTGCTTCCAGTATGAAGTATTGCTCTCATTCTTCTAGTTATCGATCAGTAATCAAGACAGATAGCTTCCAGCGCCAGATCTTGACACCAAAACAAACACAGGCCAGTGTTTTGTCAAGGCCTGAGTCAATATTAATTGTAGGGTTCCAGATTTCTTTGGGAGAGTTTTAACCTGATTGTCTTTTTCATTGCTTTGGGCTTGGCACAAGATGCTCTGAGTTCCATCACATTAATAGTAAAAATGAGATAATTGTCTTTGCAAATAAAGGCTGGGCCTTTTGCATGCTTTTATTAAGTATTTCAAACCTTTCTGGTAATAAAGCATGGAATTTCTCAGACGGAGAGAACAAAACCTGCCATGTTCTGTTGCAGAAGCCAACGCTGAAATAGGGAGAGGTTAAAATTACCAGCTAATAGCCTGCATGATTAAAGGTTGCAGGGGACAAAAGGGGGTTGCAGAAAACTGATCTTTTAATCGTGTTGGCAACTTCTGAGGAAGAAAGATAAGGGAAGAACGGTGAATAAAATTTGAGAACACACAAGCTGGGTTTTTAACTGTTCTTCTCCCCAGAAACTGAGGAAACTGTCTTTAATTGACTCTCTAACCCAATATTGTAAGTTCATTGGCAAAAGTTCTCCAATTATTTGTTACAGGAAGAAGGCAAAGAAAGAAATCCATGTTCGCAGTTTAGAAACATCATTGTTTCCCACATAACCCAAATCTGATTTAGATTAAGAGAACTGATATGAATTAAGAAATCTCAAAGAAATCTGATATGAATTAAGAGCCTCACTGGAACACATCAATGCAGTCCACCCCAATTATTTTGCTGCATGAAAATAATACAAGAAAGCACACCCTCCACGTTCAAAATGTATGTTGGCTGCAGGAGTTAATTGTAATTCTGCGTAGGCTTTCACACAAGCCAGAAATACAACTCCTGGCTTTTCCAAATGTATTCTTCACACAGCAGAAATAGGTTTAGCTTGTGCATCAATCATGCACAAGATTGAGTCATTCTTTTGCACTAGCAATGGGATCCCGCAGCATTGGGAACAATGGTGAAGCTTGGTTTGGCTCACTACTTGAGCTTGATCATTACGAAAAGGGAATCAAGAATGGAATCTCTTGGCCAAGAAGATCAATGTTTCTCTAAAAGTCCTGATGAGGATTTACTTGAAACTTTGGTGGAACCCAAACCTAGATTTCTAATTTCAGTTTTCATTCAACCAACTAATAAAGGATGGAGATGTGTTCTGATCTACAACACCTAGTTGGGCTGGACCTTTCAGATCCAGATTGAAAGAGTTTGATGGAATAGTATTGGAGGTGACCTTTTTTGGATGATTTGATATCTTTTCCTCCAATTCTCCTTGATTGTTATGTGTCCTACATATCCAGTTGCCAGTTCCTTCACTTTTCCAAGTTCTAAGAACCTTTATTTGATTTTTGCATGCCTTCTCCTACCACAAACAGATACCCTGCTGACTTTACATACATATACATGAGAGCTGGCTGATCAAAATATACAAGGGTTGTGAGTAGTAGGTCTACTGTGGCCAAAAAAGAAACCTGAAACTCATTGATGTTTTCCAACTAAACAGTCAACCAATGATCCTCTCCCCAAGGACAAATACTCCGTTTTGTTGGAATGTGCTGCTTTGTGCACTGCTTGCTCCTTGTAACTATAGATTTGCATTCAAAGGTTCCGTTCTGCTTTTATTCATCATTTCTTTCAAGGGAAATATTTCAAAATGGAGAAGGAAGACAGGGAGAAACATGACAAAGTGCTAAGCAGATGCCGGCTGCAAGAGGTAATTGTGATACAACGTAGGGTCTCGCCCAAGATAAAAATATAGCTCTAGGCTTTTTCCAAATGCCTTCTTTACACAGCAGAAATAACTTTAGCTTGCTCATTAATCAAAGTTGTGGGCTTTTTCCCACAATCATTTTAGTGCTGACTCCTTAGCATGTGCTTAGCAAATAATTCATCCAAATACTGAACTTAGCTCATGCCTAAATAAAACTGAACCAACAATATTAATAGCTTTTCACACAATTCTTTTCCTTGTCTTTTTTCTTTAAATAGCAGTATCAAAAAATCATTTCTGCATTTGGAAGTAGATATTCTATATATCTGCAACACAAACTATACAGTGCAATACGCTTCAAAGAGAGTCAGTTCAATATAATAGTTATGGTACCTGGCTAGAAACCAGGAGATGGTGAATTCTAGTTCCTCCTTAGGCACAAAGCCAGCAGAGTGCCTTTGGGCCAGTGATGCCTAAATCTCAGCTTTTAAAAATGCATTTTTACCTCCTTTTGACAGATGAGGAAAGATTTAGCTTTTGGTGAAAAAAGAACAATCCTTGGTGTTAATTTTATGGTCTGTTTCAAATTAATGAAGCATTGATCGGATAGCTTAAAGGATGTTATCTCAGGTGCTGAATAATCAACCCCTTGCTTTCAGACAACAAAATGTGTTGGCTAAGTTACCACATGCAGGAACACATCTTACTGATGTGTTACTTTGTTTATTCCACTCCACCTTTGGTGGAGACGGGACTTTGAACACATCAAACCAAAGCTAACAATACAGCCTCCAAACTGAGCACTGAGATCAAACAAACCACAAAGTCCTAAACCGATTCAAGTATCACATCCAATCCACTCCTAAACCTAGCAAGACAAACACAGAAACTGAGCTTAACGTTACGTTTAGAGAAACAATAACATCCAAATCACAGGATTCCTCCTGCTTGTTAAACAATGAACTGGCATCGGAGATCTGCCCAACACATGACCTGCCACAAGGCAGAGGCAATCAATACACTGCACAATGCAGCAGAGATACGTAACCCATGGGGCAGAAGATATTGTTGGACTACAGTTCCCATCACCCTTGCAGGAACTGCCTTGGATGGTGGGAGTTGGAGTTTAGTAACATGCGGAGCTATGCAATTTGGAGTAGGGCATAGGAATATGAGAATGGAGAACGTTCAGGTTTTTTTCATTGGGTTGGGGGAGCCTAGCCAAAAACTATTCTACAAACACGGAGAAGACATTTAACGGGTTTGGGGGTTTTTTGCAAAAAAGGTGCCATTGGTGAATTAATGTGAATCCACATTAAAGCAAGGATGGTAGATATCAGTGACATCTCTGATTGAAGGGGAATCATCATCCATCTGTCATAATTGGTCCAACTGTTGAATGGCTTTGCCTTCCTAGAATTTTAATCTATTATCTTGTGTCCTGTACTCTGGGATAATCAAGAGCAGATTGTGACACCCCTTCAGACAATTGACAAATATGATCATCTCAAGGCTAAACTTACCCTTAACTAGATAGTCAACTAGTTGACTACTAGTTGGCCCAAAATGAGAAGGCTCCCTAGCTAAAGACGTTGGGAGCTAGCTCTGAACCAGAAGGAATTAAAAGACTGGGAACTTGTAAAAAGGTAATGGTGGGCATTTCTTATAATGTTCCTTTTTAGGACTTGCCTCAAACTGAACATACCATGCCATTTTCATGGGCAGAAAAATAGCAACATTCCTGTTCTAAAAAAGAATCACACTCGTTGGCATGCCTGGGAAGAAAACCCACACACAGTTTCTCAGGGCTTTTCAATCCCTAGAGTTTCACAGCTTGGCTTGTACCAATGTTTTGAAGACCTGTCTGCACCAGATCAATCTCCCAGTGTTGAAGTTTCCCAAAACTACTGCTCCATCCTGCTAACTACCAGACATTTTGCTTACATCAGAAGCAAAGCATATTTCCTGTTTTCATACATGGCCGTCTAGGTAGCAACTACGTCACCGCTGTATTTCAGACAAAGTAGATGAAAACAGGAGCAGTAGAGTGACTAGGGAGAGTGATGTAAAGAGGTCAACTTTGGAGTTCAAACATACTGTCACAAAAGACACATCAAAAAGCTTTCTTACAAAAAACAAAAATACCCAGAAGATGAACTGATTGCACAGATCAATTTTCAGGTCCTCCACTTCTAGTTCATCTCATATTTTAACTCATACATCATCTTGGGCTTCACCTCATATTCCTTATTATTGTTCCTGAGCATTCACTCAATGGTTCAATTTCCACCCGTAAGTGATCTCATGAGCTTTGTTTGGACTGATGTCCTTTCCAGGAAGAAACAATCTTCCTAGAAGGTTTCATTCAACAAACAATGTTGCACTCTTCTCAAACCAACATAGGCTGACTCTCTTTTTTGCTTTTATGCCTCCTCCTCCTCCTCCTCCTCCTCCTCCTCCTCCTC